TTATTCAGAACTGTCCCATTAATGAACTGGGGTATTACAAGACTCAGAGACTTTTGAACCCTAACATGTTATGTCTGAGTGTGGCTGTACTCATGCCTAACATTTATAAGACCTGTTTAGCCTATATATATGACCTTAAAGAACTTGTCACACTGATTCACAGATATGTTGCACATTGTAGTGTCCACTTCCTGGCCTCTGCCATCACACTGGAGAAACTCTGCTATCAAGGAAATTGGATCCCATGTCTCTTAAACTTTAAGGTTCTATTTTCCTAAAATAGGATGCAGACACAAACACAAATGGGTGTGACCAGGATATTTATGTAATGCTGGTGACCACAGACACAACCAGGCTGAATACATGGTTAGTGGGATGAATAAAGAATACAGAATACAAAACTAAAACAGTCCTCATGTGCTTTGGAGATTATGGTTTTTTCTGTTTAGTTTTTTTTTTAAGTACAAAGTCAGTTATAAAGTACAGGTATTAAATCCTGGTGTCTTGTCAGTTTTGAAGGTGTCCAGACTGTGCCCACTGATTTTGGAGAAGTGTGACTGTGAACCTCTGCTTTCTAGTTCATCTGAGCAGAAGGAAATGCAATGTCTATTATTTGTTACTGTTACAATAAGTGTATCCTGCACCCCACAATTTTGCCTTCACTGTCCAGCAGCTCTGAGCTTATGTTTATAAACCTCTGTGTAGATTCATGACTAAAGTTGTGTACGCACTAAGACAGAAGTGAGCATATGTAGTTTTTGTTACATTTATAAAGCATCCTGTATGCTTGACTCAGATTATTTATTTAAAAAAAAAACAAAGTCTAAAATAAAAAACAGGAAACATGACATCAAAAGATGCAACAAAATTCATTAGGCCAACATAAACGCAATGTTGAAAAATAAACTTTATGAACTGAAATAGGTAAACAGCTAAAAATGATGCAAACTGTTTAATATGGGCTGTCACCTTATTTTTCATTTCCAATTCATCTTATCACACCTATTAAAACCCACACAGTATGAGTATGCGTGAGGTGCTCACATTCTTCCCCTTCACATTCTGTGTTGATACCAGTTTGCGTGGGAAAAGGTGTACTCATGATTTATAAACCTTTATAAACCAGTTCTTACATTAAAGGTTGAAGTATTCAGAAGCAATGTCAGGCAACAGTATTTTTTGTTGAGTTTTGCCAATGCACATGTCCAGTTCAGGTATGCAGAGGAACTGTAAAAACCTAAAAAAACTGACAATGGAGCATCCAGCAGGCAGTTCTACTAACAAAATAACCATATGTAGATACCATCATAGTCCCACAACATTATCAAGACATTTCTTATCATGATATCACAAAATTACAGATGCAGTTACACCCCTAATGGATTCAAAATGTTAGCTGCACAAACATTTGGCAGTTTTGCACTGGACAGGCCTGGACAGCACTGGCTTGAGAAGCTATTCCCCATTGTAAGTTTAAGTTTAACTGTTAGAAGCACATTTTCAACACAGAAAGCTTAAGATCATGAATCAGCAGGTTAATATGAATTAGGATTCAAAAGGTTCTTCCATCAGTTGTTTTTCTTCGTGAGATGAAGCTTTTATTGTCAGGTTCGCTCGGCGCGGCCTGCCTCTCTACCTCCTTGTTCTCTCTCGTCCTGCGGGATCGGCGCCTCAGCTGTGTCGCATTTGGTAATCAGTGACTCGTTGGTTGTTGCGCACAGCTGAGGCGCATTCCTGTGATTGCCTGATTTCCTTATTTAAACCTCTGGCAGACGCTCCGTCATCGCTGGAGCATTAATTAAGTAACTATATGAATGTAAATGCATGTATTTACTCGTTACATGATTTGATTTTCAATGCTGACAGTCCCTGTGCTGCTGATTATCTTTCAGTACATGTATACATGTGTTTTGGCAATACGTGACTGGTTTCAATGCTGACAGTCCCTGTGCTATTGATTTCGTTTGCTACTCCTCCTGGTTTTTGTCTATTCTCCTGTCCGTTCTGGTCCCCCGACTCTTCTGGTTCCTGCCATTATTCTGTCTACTCACCTGCTCGTCCTGGCCTCCTCAGCCATCACTGCTCTACCCTGTGTTTGTACCATACATTGATTCAGTTACTTTGTGTTTTCTATTAAACCACCCTTTTTCACTAGCACCTGGGTCTGCATCTTGAGTCCTCCCATTTGTTCCCCCTCACCATGGGGTGAGGGGGACTCAAGCATAACATTTATTGACACAAATGTAAGTCCCTCACTCTAATATGTAGCCTAGAGAGCTTCAGATATACACACATATTTGATGAATAATATATTTTTGTTGGGTTTGTAGTGGTTGAAGTTACATGTTAATATGAATTATGTAATGGAATAGAGTGTTTGTGTGTTCACTTTTAAGTTCATGTGAGCTGAACAATGAGCTTATAAAATTTGGCCAAGATGTTTCCTGTTTTTGTGTACATCTCAGGGTGTTGTCTCCTAAAACTGGAGACAGGAAGCTAAGTTCGGAAACTGACGTAACAGCCTAAGAAAAGTTGTGGATAAAACAGTGAGGCTGAAGGGTATAGGAAGAAGAAGAAGAAAGGATGAGAATGCTACTGTGACAGTACAGTGTGCTCTTTGGGACCCGGGCCTGGGTAGGGGACTCTGACTGGTTGGACCCCTGACCGGGACAGACTGATCCTGTGACAGTCTTCTTGTTTGGTGCTGTATCTGTTCCATTGCAGGAGGAGTGATTCTGTTCTCTGTTCCCTAACTACCACCTATTTAACTACTACTCTGTTCAGAATAGTAATATTAAATGATTACTTAAATTGCGATGATTTGTCTGAATTAATTTAATTAATATCACATTCTAGCCATGACAGGTTCACATTGTATTCTTTTAGGTATTTTTAGTCAGATAGATATTGGTTAGATACTTGATGTATTAGAAATGTTTAGAGTAGACAGGATGTCTAGCTCAGGCTGTTAAATGCTTAGTCATTCTCATGAGTTGCTGCAGGTTGCTTATGGTCAAGGATAACTAGATAGAAAGTTGATGACTGTTAGAAGACAGGATGTTTATTATTTGCTGCAATCTAAGTGGAAAGTCTAATATATGTTAAATAGGCTACATGAGTTCATTGACCTGTGTTGGGAGAAGATGACACACAGCTGGGGTCTACACCTTTGTGGACAAATGGAAAAGTCCTGTTCCATCCACACTAAAACCAAATCAAACAATTCAAGGGGAAGGTGGACTAAATATAAGACACTTACCATGTTTTATTTTCCCATGCTTTAGCCAGTTGGTGAAATATTCAGTATCCTGCTTGGCAATCTACTCTGAGCCCACTAGCTCAGTGGGATCCAGCTGGGTGGTCTGCTGTCCCACTGAGGCCCAGACAGACAGGGATATTGGCTTCCTGGATGGATGCATATCTTGCTGTCACATGCCATTATATAAACGAGGCTACACTGTCCACCACCCTTTTGGAGGTATGCCCTTTTCCAAAGTGTCACACAGCAAAGCATATTGCTGGTATTGTTCAGGAGCTAATGGAAGAATGGGTAATACAAAACAAGGTGAGATGCTTGGTGACTGATGCAGCATCAAATATGATTGCTATTGCAAACATTCTGCAAGTTAGGCATGCTGTCTGCCTTGCACATGCCCTGAATCTTATTGTCAAAAAATCTGTGGATGCTACTCCTGGCCTTGATAACATCAGATTAAGAACAAGGAAGATTGTCACATACTTTAAAACAAGCACCACAGCAAAGGAAAGACTGCAGTAGATGCAGGTGCAAATGGGATGCCATGTCAAGAAACTAATAATGGGTTTGAAGCTTCATGGGGCTTCATATGGCCATTACTACTACCATGTGAATTACTCTGTAAGACCTTTTGTGTTGCATTGTGTTTATCCATTAAACCTTCAGTTAACATGGTACCATTAGCTTAGCGGTTGACATTAAAGGGTTAAATTTTCATTCTTTGCCTTCATACTGTCGTGGCATGAGTTACATATAAGCAAGAACCCGATTGTGTCATTTAAACCACCTAAGTTGAAATTTTACCGTTAAAAAAATTAAGTGCACATTGACTGCTACTCACCCAAAAACACTGCAGACCGAAGACGGATGGACAACTTACAGTAATACGGTTCAACTGTGTAATGGCTGCATTCAGAGGCACTCGGAAATTACAGCTTTGGGATCGCAAAAGTTATATTCGGTGACTTCTATACCTGAAATACATTACTTCAAATGGTCAACCTATCTATCATACTATTACTCAGTTGTGTATATTGAATCGTAATGCTGCCAGCTTAAATAGAGGTATGAACAAAAATAATGTACATAATAATGCTCCCTTCATGAAACACTTCAGCACTTAGTTCTAAAATGGGCTTCAGTGAAACTACAGCTGATGTTGTTGTCATTCTCTGAACCTTGTGGATTGTACCACTCCTGTGTTTCAGATTGTGTGCTCTTTCTATCTACACTAGATCAGTGTTTCTCAACTGGTATCAACCTGGGACCCACTTTCCAACCCACTTCTCAAGTCGCCACCCACCAGTAAAGGATTTCAAATAAATTAATTAAATTATAAAGCTTTTCTTTTAAAAAAAGCATAGTCAGTACAGCCTTTGTGTCAGATTTTTCTGTCTGCATTGAGGAAATATTACTCAAAAATAAAAATAAACACCACAACTGCTGCATAGAACCGCTGCTCCTCCACATCGAGAGGAGCCAGCTGAGGTGGCTTGAGCATCTGTTTTGGATGCCTCCTGGGCGCCTTCCTAGGGAGGTGTTCCAGGCATGTCCCACCGGGAGGAGGCCCCGGGGAAGACCCAGGACACGCTGGAGGGACTGTGTCTCTCGGCTGGCCTGGGAACGCCTCAGTATCTCCCTGGAGGAGCTGGAGGAAGTGTCTGGGGAGAGGGAAGTCTGGGCATCTCTGCTTAGACTGTTGTCCCTATGACACGATTCTGGATAAGCGGAGGAAGATAGATAAATGGATGGATGGATGGATGATAAACAAACTGACCTAATTCTTTTTTCTTTTAGGGCTGATGGTACCTGCCGGAGACTAAATGAACTTGCTAACAAAACTGATACTCCTGGACGCTTCACCTTCTACAGCCAGAGTGAGTAGAGTATACAACACACACACACACACACACGCGCAAACACATGCTGAGTGTTCATTAACTTGACCTGTGTTTTTCTGCTTCATTCAGAGTGGAACAATGACAATGACATGCGCATTGTAGAAGTCCTATATGATGAATATGCTCTGGTCTACACCAACAAGACGAAAGATGGAGTGTCTGAGGTCCTCAACAACCTTTATAGTAAGTCTGGATAGTTTATGGCACAGATGCAGACTGGGAAATTATTGTATGTTGAATTCAATATTTGCCGAAGATTAAAACAACGGATTCTAATTGCAGGTCGCACTCAAGAACCCAGTGTTGCATGGCAGCAGAGGTTCACACAGTTCTCCCTGGACACTGGCATCCTCCCCGAAAACATTGTGATCCTGCCTAAAAATGGTATGTTATTAATATCCAAAAATATGCACTTTGTAAAAAATGCATTGCAACTGTTTCTGTTCAGATCTTTGCTCATGGACATCCTTATTATCTGCTGCTACAGCGGAGTGTCCCGAGGACTGAGATGTACCCGGCCAACCTCCAACTCATGATGACTTTCACCTCAGAAGATTTTTCTTTTTACCTCTCACGGTGACGCCTGCCGCATCACTGAGCTACAGTTTTGTCAATCAGTGTCATCTCTGCTGCAATCCTGATCCTAATTCAGACTTCACTCTCTCCAACTCACATGTTAACTTCAGCATCAGAGTGGAACAATAAAGATCTGATAGTGAGCCGAGGGGAATGAATATATACAGTACGACTGTGAAAGCTAGTTAGATCAGAGAGAGCAAACAGAGAGAGAAGCACAGACTGCTGACTGCAGCTGGCCAGAAAAAAAAACAAAAAAACTTTTGTTGGATTGAACAAAATTTATGTTTTTTTTTTACTATGTCTGAAAGAAGCTACTCCATCTTATCACAAGAGGGCAGGCTATGACTGGTCTCAGAAAAACATTGACCTTGAAATGTTCATTATAAGCCAATAACAGCATCATAAGACAATGCAAAGTTGAAAAAGCATAGCCTAAAAGCGCAAATTATAATTGTTTTTATTTACAACATTTTGTTAAAAGAAACCTGGGTTATGGTTGTGTCGGTCATAGATGACCTGCTGCCTTGACCTTTCCCTGACAATTTTCACATTTACTCCTGCAGAGTGTGCATGTGTTAGCTTCAGCTTGTGCAATTAATCAGTTATTTAACCTTTGCTGACAACATGTTATCCAATTTCCTCTCAGTAATAAAAACATCAGCACAGCTTTTATACAATTAAACCTGACACTCTTTGTTTTACAGACTGTGTCTCCACATGTTGAAGAAGCAGAACTGTGCAACAGACAGATCCACTCTGACAGTGTTTGACAGTTCTCATGCAAATACCAGAATATGTTTTGTGATTTTAAAATGTGGAAAACAAGACAGTTGTCGAAAGACAGAGTGTTCAAACTATAGAAGCTGTCAGCTTCAAATGTTACCAATTACACATGAATAAAATAAAATAAAATAAAAATTTAAGCTATTGTCAAATGTTTTCACTTAGAAAGTTCACAATAGACATGGCATTATTATGTAAGACCTACTGTTATGTTAAGTTTATAGAATGTGTGTCAATATGTAGCTTATGGGATGTGTGTGAGGACAGAAAGGGATGGCGGGGTCTGGAGTTAATGAATCCCAGATATGCAGGGGCCAAAGGGTTGAGAGAGTTTGATCACAAAACTAGGTTACAAAATATGCTTCTTATCACAAAACTAGGTTACAAGCGTCTTAGGCTGCTCTGTAAACATTTCAGTACCTCTGTGTGTGTGTGTGTGTGTGTGTGTGTGTGTGCATGTGTGCGTGCACTCCTGGCATTACTGACATTGTGGGGACTTGGCCTTCCATGTGGTAACCAGATGTTGGCCACCATCATGTAAATCACCGAATTTTACAGTGATAACTTGTGTTAAGTTGAAGTTAGTTTAAGGTAAGTCTCCATGGCATGAATTTAAGTTAATGTAAAGTGTACTACAGAATGAGTTGACTGCAAGTCAGGCCTGTCTTGTTTCCTAAAAAAAGGAGATTTGGTGAGTGCATCAATATATTTAAGTAACTTAAGAATTCACAACTAATCAGTCCTTTGTAAATTACACAGTGTGAATGATAAAAACCTTTATACACAGTGAAGAATTGAAGATGAGATTATTTTCACATAAAGCATAGCACAAACAAGGTGGCATTCAACCAGCTCTCTCAGTCATGCAGCTAATGAGAATTAAAATGCAAATGGGTATTCACTGCATAGTTCCTAAATATCACT